CTGGAATATTATTGTTATTCTCCAGCTGTATTTGCTCAGCTTGCTCTAGCACAACGAAAAACATCTGCACAGACTCTGTAGCAAAGATCAAGGCGTTTCCGGTGTAATTTCTCAAGTTTGCAAAATTTGTGAAATACTTCAAAAGAGAGATTTCACTCATACATGATAGGAAGCAACAATCGCAGATTGGATAATTTTATGCAATCGTAGAATATACCCTCCAAGGTGGTATATTTGGTTTCACACAGAGTTTTCAAAAATTGAGTCTTCAAATACTTCGATTGAATACCGATACTACCGATACGGTTGAAAACTATTCATTTTACCCTGACGCTGAAGCAGACGACAGTCATTCAAATTAACCAAGTTGCCAAACCTTGCAGAAAAATAACTTAGTTGGCAGTGCAACCAGATTTACTTTTATTCGCACCGCGCGTCTCATCGTCTCTGCGTGAACCATGTTCCCGTTTTCGAGAATAGGTTCACGATATCAAGCACATCTCATGAACATAAATCACGTTTACCAGAACTAGATCATGATTTTCAGAACAGAATTCACGATGAATTTTGTTGAGTTTGCTGGGCTGGTACCCTCTACACCATGACCAAAACCACTACCTTATTTGCTTATCCTTGACAGATACGCGTATTTGGTTTACGCCTCGAGTCGAGTATTAGTACAAGATACTTAAGAAGTCTAACTTAGTAGCTAGAAGCTTCAGCTGGATTTTTATCCGGCTTCAAAATTGGAACAACTTTTGCAATTTTCCATTTATCAGGAAAGTATGTCAAATGGAAACATCTGTTAAATTATTTTACCAAGAAAGACAAGGTACTCTCTGGGAGTTTTTTGATGAGGATATAGAAAATTCCGTCATCACCTGGAGCTTTCATATTATGAAACTTTTTAATTATAGACCTTACTTCGTCCAATTCAGTCCCCCAGGAATCATCAAAAATATTTTCCCGAGTGAAAATATTCAGATAATCCCGAGCAACCTGATTCTCAATAAGACTATTAAGACCCAAACTGAAATTACTTACTCTTTAAGCACTGGAATAGGCTTTTGAGGTTTTTTTTTTAAATTTAGGGAGCTTTCTAAAAGTGTTTGGAACTCGGGTCTAATTTAGAAACATTATTTTCAAAAGTTTTGTTCCTCAGGGCTTTTAAATTTGTTTTTGCAAATCCCGCCAGATAACTTTCATGGCAAGATCGCGTGTTCTTTGATATTGTCTCCTACGGACATTTTTAAGACGGATCAAGAGCTGAAGACAGTCGTCTGTTATAATTGAATCGAATTTAACCTCGCATTTTGGTACTGAGGCAGCTCTTGATTCAACTATAGAAGTAGTCAGAGATTCAAGAGCATAATTAATTTCATCTTTGGTTTGCAAAGGAATGTTTGGATCGAAGTTATATTCCATAAATGTTCGATACTGCTCCCAATCAGCTCTATGGTAATTGAAAGTAGAGCTGTTGGGATTAGAAATTATTTCTTGGGATATTTCAAAAGTTACTGGAAGGTGATCAGAACCGAAGTCAGCATGGGTAACCAATTGGCTACAAAGTTGACATGAATCAGTTAAGACCAAATCAATAGTTGAGGAATTTCTTGCTGAAGAAAAGCATGTTGGGCTTTTTGGATATTCAATAGTGTAATAGCCTGCAGAACAATCATCAAACAGAATATTACCACCGGTTGAAAACTAACGGTTTTAAATTGGCTCACTACTTGACGAGCCTATTGGTCCCAAGAAAATCGATTAACGTACCCCTTTCTAGTGGAAATTCTAGTACTAAACTGTGTTTGTTTTGATTCGATATGTAAGTTTTATAGATAAAATGAGGGGCTCGTGGATTTTCCTATATTTCGAGGGGTGCATCGATTAGCATGGGACCGAAAAGTGTACCAGAGCTGAGTCAAAAAGTTGAGCACGTTTCTTTGGGACCTTCTGGTTCTTTGTCGAAGAATACTTACGATTTCATGATTTGTATTCGTGGTGTGCTTTCGTAAATGAACAACTTACTTGTTCCGAAATGCGTAATTTGAAGTTCACGAATTTTGGATTGGATTTTTTACCAAGTACCATTTCTCGGGTAAATACATAAATTGACGTAAATACTTTTGTAAACAATGACTTCAAACGTCAATTTGCTTTCAGTCCAAGCAAATAATTAGTACAATCAGATTGGGGAAATTTCACTGTCCTCATGGTGGTGTAATTTTGCGTGGGCTAGCTAACAGTTTCGGCATTGTTTACTAAAGTAGGGGTGGTGCATAACGCATCGTTTGAGAAAAATCGTGAATTACTAGTGTAGCTGCTACAATTAAGGAAAATATTATTGAGTATGGTTCCTTACAATGTTTTCTTTGATGATCAAGTGTTTTCAAAATTCAGAATAATGGTTAATTCAATTCCAAAATGACAGCGGAGCAAAACGCCTGATACCTGGTAGAATATGCACCACAACATTGGGGTAAGACCGGTCTTGATTCGAAGCGACGCAGCCGAAAGTCTAACATCTTCGGTTGAAAATTCTGAGTGAAACGAACGAAATGGAACATGTGCTATTTGTCGATGGACAAGTTGGACCACAACATTGTGGTAAAATGCACCGTTTGAACGAAGTGAAACATAACTTGCCAATAGAGAGAAAAAAGTGCAAGGTATTTCCAATGATTTTTTATAAATTTCATATCAACATGTGCTAAACTGTAATTAAGAATGCAAAATACATAAACTTTATGATACAAGTGAATTCGTTCCATTCATTTGTGATAGGAACTGTTAAAAACTTAATTTGTGGTCGGTGACAACTATGTACTTGTGAAACTTCTAGTTGAAAATAAACACAATCCGTTAGCTGTGAATAGTATATGAGGAAAAGTTGTCGTTGTTTTCAGCATATGGGCATTTTAGCCCAGGGCTACATTATGGGCTGTTCTCCCCTGCTTACATCGATTTGACTATTTGCTCGAGAATTAATTACCAACAAATGTCGGATATTGACAGAACTATTAACCCTTGTTGCTGCAGTTAATGATAGAAGGGCAAAGTTTAAGGATAGCTAAGTGATAATTTGAAGGATGAATAGTCAAATCAAGAACAAAAGTGAAAAGGGCATAGAAGCTTTTTGTAAACAAACCTTCTGATGCCCTTTTCTCGCCACCCATATTTATGTTGCCATCGCAAACCAACAACATCACCGGTAAGGGGAAGCTTTCTCCTTCCCGATGATGTTGTAGGTTTGCGTGGCTGACCCTCGGTTGGCGAGAAAACGGCCTACAAAGGTTTGTTTACAAAAAGCGTGTATGCCCTTTTCACATGTGGCTCTTGAAATAGCCGTTAGTTCTTTTGTAAACCATAGCTTCAAATCATATTCATTCTTGATATGTACTTTAAAAAAAAAGTGGATTTCATTGTAGCATAAGCACGGCTTCGAAAACTGTTTATCATGATTGTACAACATTTTTCAGAACATTGTTTAGCCAAAATTAAGTGTTCATGGATTTTGTTTACCTCTGACGATAATATGTAAAAGATTTGCAAATTTATTTGTTTATCCATTGTATTTTTTTAATCCATGAAAATTTAGAGTATGCCAGCAAACATAAACTCCTGTGTACTACTCTGCTGATACCTATCAATATTAGCTACTCAATGTTGCTATAAGTATTCACATTATATTACGCAAGCATAAGGCATCGCTATTTGAAATCTGGGTATGGCGTAGACAAATCGCATCCACCTTCAGACTGCTGCGATTGATTTAAAATTATTTCAAACTGATAAGCAAGACAAATAGATACGTGACTCTCTCTATCTCTCAACGAATGTACTGCCGCTCATGGCAAGTCCGTGCCATAGCACAAATCAGCAAGCCGAGAAGAACGCATTTTATGTTTGCTTCGAACCATAGCTTCTTATCTAATGGAACAACCTGTTTGGCTCTTATTGCAAACGTTTCCAGAACAAAGATGTTGAGTTCATCCAGTATTATGAAAATATGGGTGATAAGTTACCATTTTCATTGAAAACTCAGTTTTTATTAAAAAGGCAAATGGCAACGATTTGCTATGAGTTTTTTTTGACGTAGGATTACGTCTTTCGGCTACATATTGGAGGTGCAATTTCAAAAAACCAAAACGGCCCAGTTACGAAAAGTGGTCAGGCTTTGACCGCTTATAACTCTGTCAGTAGCGGTTGGATTTTCAAACCAATCGATTAGATCTTTTTTCTAAGAATCTGCTAACTGAACACATTTATCAATTTTCAATAGGTCACTATTGAAAATTGCACAAATGTCCAGCTGTTGCAATGGTGATCAAAATTATCATAGATTGTCTAAAAACCACAGTCGCCAAATCTACGGTCGTTGCTTGGATGCAACCTCTTACTTTTTTTTTGTTTTTCGTAAGCAATCAAAAGGCAGAGATATGTGAAATTTTTGCAGCCACACTGGAAGTGCACTGGTAAAACAGAACATAGTAATGTGAAATATTTTGAAATGATTTGTGAAACGATAGCGGTTGCATTTTCATTCAAAATTCACTTCAAAATTGGTTCAAAACCATTAAGTCTCCTCCAGACCCAGTATGAAATCACAGATAAATACCGTATACATCCTACCCTACCGGAGCTGTCACATGCTGTGTCCGAAATGGCGGAAATCAACTTTCATGTACATCGGGTTTTTCTTCACCCTCACTACGTAAAAATGAAGCAACAATTTTAAATGTAAGCACCTAAAATGCTCTAAGGTGACATTACCCACTGAGTTCTACCCACAGCTTTTTATCGGCGGGTTTTCATCCAGTGATTTTTTGCATGTGAGCGGTTTCAACGCAGAACTAGTCACTCGCAGAAAATTATCATACTACCGACATGTTAGGCGATCCTACCTATTAGCTTGGATCATTGACGATTTTCAATTTTGCACTACCGACAAGGAACGGTTTTGTTTGAAGTTAAATAAAATTAAATTTCACATTTGACAGCTAGATGCAACACATCAGCAGAGAGACTAACCAACTGACGAACGCATGAATGGATCACGCATATAAAAACTAATGGTAATGTACTAGAAGAAGTGCAAAAACCACCTACAGAAATAGAATAACAATCACCCTAAAAGTAGTTATATCATCCATGCAAATATCCGCAGAAGAACAAAAGTGAATGTGGCATAGCCATAGAAAATAGTGAAAGTCGAAAACCTCTCGCAGCAAATTGTTATTAGTGCGCATTATGTAAACGTTGTACCGACAGTCCGGAAAAGTGCAAAGCAAGAATCATCGAATAAAAGTGGAATAAAACTAGAACAGTACCGTGTGCAGTGTGGCTTACATTTCCCTAAGGATAATAACCATTGTTCCAACCAGCCAGCCAGCAGCATATTTCGAACGTCATCGTACATCGTCACCGCGTAAGACGTTGAACAGGCGAATGTGTGCCACGGAATCATGAGCTGGCATATTTTCCACCTCCCACAACGCGTCCTACTCTTGACAAGTTCGCTGCTACAGGAGCCCTTCGACTCGAGCGTGGCAAGCTCGTTAAGCGAGTAAACATTCGTATCGGGAAAGATTGAGTGGGCGGTAGGAGCCGTAGCGAGCCAACTACAGTGGGGGGAAAATAGCTCAATGTGCGTTCTAATAACTGCTCCCCTTCAAACCATGGTTGAGCAGTTTCCCTAGCATAGCCGGGTGGTTATTATTACTTGCTATCGTAGAGGAGGAAACTATCAAACATTTGCACTTACCGGTCTTGGCTCGAAGCGCCGCAGCCGAAATCTTCGGGGGCAAATTCTGAGTGAAACGAACGAAAGGGAACATTTCATGCTTCGTGGTGCTATATGTCGTAAAATTAAGTAATTTATACGCTACTTTGCATAAGTGTTTGGAACATCGAGCCCACAGTTGCCATTTAACGATAGACGTTAGCTGTGGAAGGTACAAACGTGTATGTTACAAAACAGGACATACTTCCTTATTTCCTAGACTCAGACGCGTCGCATTGCATCTTCAAGTGCTCTACAAGTGGAGTGGAAATGGAAGTGCTTGGCAGTGTGTCGGTCTGATATATGGCCCTCTAGGAAAAAGTTTCCAGTTACACAAAGGACCTGTTACGTTTTGGGCCCCGGCCGTTCGATATCAATCAAGCTTAAGTGTTAGTAGCTGTCAGAAATTAATAATCGCTGCTAAATAGACGTGCTTATACTTTTAACGGCTCCATCTAGGCGCGTTATCAGCCGAGAAATAAAACTTAATCGTCGTACTGTCACTGTCATTAAATACAATCAGCTCCAGTGAGTGGAAGAACAGAACCAGAGCCGAAGAATTTCCACGGAGAAGAAGAGAGAAAAAGCTTAATTAACACCAGTGCACATAACCGCATGGAGATTCGCTTTTCTCGCATCTACTAATTGTGGATGGCATTCGCATATATTTGCAAGCAAACAACTGCGTAGGAAGGCACTTCACCTGGATCATAAACCTGATACGGCACATCGTTAGGAGCTGAGCAAACATCCACCGTTATAAAGAGGCTGCCGGCGGGACTTTCTGATTTCTGAAAGCCGATACGGTGGCGCTTATTGAATTTTAAGCAGCGGCAGCGGAAGTTGCTAACTTTTCTTCTATCTCTATTTTGAAAGGTAAGTCATTTGATTGTGTGATCATTGCGGGTCACGCAAGGATTACAACTGCTAAGCTGATTTTTATCGCTGTTCTTGCGTTCTATGGGGATTGGAGTGTTGAATGGTTGGAATGGTTGAGTGTTTAGTAGGTGTTAATTTTTTAGTATGCAGGTGCCTTGAATGCGTGGATATTTTTAGTTGGGGAATAGTTTGAAATTATAAATAATGAATGAATACTAAACTGAAGGTTAGATAAATCAGTTCATTTGATATTTCTAAAATAAATCTAAAAAAATTGTGTCTATAGTCGTAGACTATTTTTTTTCTCTCTGTTCGGGATCTAACACCAAAGCGTTGAAAAAGGTCAAAATAAATTGTCCAATTACAATCGAGGGGCGCAAATATAGCACTTATTACAACTTTAAGGCGCTTCCATCACTAAAACTTTGGGTCGCCAGCTAAGCGAAAGAGTGGATCATATTGTTAATATAATATATTTGGTTTTGATTAAAGTGGTAAAAATGCATATTGTTTTACAAAATTGCCTTAAGGGGGTATTCCCGATCTTTTTTTTCAAAAAATCAAATTTTTTTTTTTCACGTTTTTTTGTACTTTAGACTATATACTTTCATCCCCCCAAGCCGTTTTCCGATCAGCGAATTCGGTGTCCAGGCATAGCTGACTAATGGTAAGAACCCCCAAATGGTTTTAACTAAAGTCAAAACTTTAAACGCGTTTTTCTCGAAACCACATTTTTTTTATCGGGCGAAGATTTTTCTCAGAAACTATAAGAGATATTGACTTGAATCTTTGCGCATTTTGTTCCTTATTAAATTCTTTGGAGCTTCTCCCACTTTCAGCCAAAAATATTAGCATTTAACATTGTTTGAAGCACCTTAAAGTTGCAAAAAAGCGGGCTAAAAATCGCCTGTTTTTTCATATGGCCGCCATTTTGTTAATTATCAAGATTTTTTGCTGCCAACGGGAGAAGCTCCAGAGAATCTTATGCAGATTATTATTTCATCACGAAATCTGTTTCAGATGAAGCCGTTCCAGAGAAAAGTCTTCGCCCGTCCAGGCGTTTGCGGCGAACAGGGGTCTGTTTGCCGCCATTTTGTGACGTCAATAATGTCTTTTTTTATGTCGAAAAAAATTTATTTGTAAACTTTAATGTTCAATAAACAAGAATCCCAAAGAGTTAGGCGCATTACTATTCATTTTCCTTGAAAAAAAATTAATTGAAAAACAGGCCGAAAAAAGGCAAAAGATTGGGAATACCCCCTTAAACATACCATAAACAACGTATTTTTTTCTGAACCATCACTAGAATTTATAATGAATCCTGATGAATATAGGCGTCTATAGTTGAATATACCTGTATAAAGAAAGGGAGAAGGATTAGTAATTTCGATTTGATTCCTCTACCTTAATTGCATATCCTTGACAGATACGCGGATTTTGTCTACAATATCCAGCATTCCTCAGTGTCCTACCTAGGTACATGTTTCACTGAAGAGCTCTGAGAAGGGCTAGTTTTTATGATATCTGAATAATATTTCTCAGGGAGAAAAGAGATAGCACTACAAATTAACTCAGTACATAACTTAGTGAATGGTCGTGTACCGAAGACCAACAACCACCAAAAGAGTTATCCTCTATACATCCACCCTGGGAACTGCGGGCTCAAACGATTTTACTTTGCAAACCAATGTAAACTGCTTGACAAATTTCTCAAGTATGAAATCGTTTTGCTCTTCCTCAGTTTATTCCCACCAAAAGCTCTAAGCCAGGAGTGTTCGAGCCCCCATGACTCCAATAAAGATTATTTGCATACTTGTTTCGCCAAAATATGTTTTATTGCATTGGTTGTTTTGCTTTCATGACTGAGGCACTCTGCCTTTGAGCTTACAATTAATAATGTGTTATGACAAATTAAGGTTAAATTTCTATGAGATGGCAATACATGACTGTAGATAAGAAGTGTTGCCACATTTATGATACCGGGATGTTTAGTTCCCATTTGGCAGTTTACACTGGCTCCCAGTTGAGAAACACAATGAGTGAGTCCGCAGCATCCTGCTTCAAAACATTCATTCCAGCAAAAAAGATTCTTCGGATACAGACTCTTCCACGCAGCGAAACGGGAAAGGTTAGGGAATTGGAGTCAATCTTCAACTGCAAGGATTAACGGATACAAGGCGAGCAAAATCCAGGCAATTATCGATAAAATGGCAAAAATAAAAAAAAACTTCCTCATACTACAGATTAAAACGTAATGCTTTCAAAGTTCTTATTTATAAAAATTTTAAGTTTCACGTTGGCATGATGTACAATTTTTACTTTTTTTTCCAAATGAACACTTTTTACAGGATACATAACAAATATATCCCAGCTTTATTGGCAAGTGAGTCAAGAACATACAATATTAGAGAAAGGAAATACAAACATTCAGATTTTTAAAATTATTTCCCAGAAATTCTTTAAAAATATATTACTGCATTATTTAAAGTGGAAAATGAATTATTTGCCAGTCAAAGGGAGGTTTGAAAAATTAAAACCACAGACAAACAGACGTAACTCTTTGAAAAACTTGTTCTTGAAAACATAGTATCTCAAAACATATAACCTCAGTAACGACATCTCTCTGGCTTCTCGCGGAAAACAAGCTTGCTCGCTAACTCGTAAACAATATTGCATAAAAGTTCTATAGAATGTATAGAAACGTCAAAGTGATCTGATGCCAGCGCTGCGGCGAGTAGTTCGCGGAACTGATAATATTCAAATCAACCGTTAAATGCATAAACGAAGATACACAATGAAGAGTTACGTCTGTTTGTCTGTGTTAAAACTATCACAAATTTATTAATGCAGTAAACTCTTCCTATCACGATTTTCAAGAGATCTCTCTAACTCGGATATTGATATCCCAAGTAACAAATCTAGTGTTGCTTGGCTATATTCAAATTTATAAAGGTTTTATTGCAGTTGCAACCATTACCTACAGCTTTATGACGGTCATATACAATGCAAGTCATCGAACATTCTTATAGCTATCTACAAAACCCATATAAAGCTTATAAAAAACCAACTGATGCTTATGCTATTTTCGCTTATGAAAGGTTTTATGATTACCTTGAAGAATAAAAAACAATATGAATTGCCCTTATAAAACCCAAAAATAAATCCTTATATTGCTTTATAAGTAAGCGCAATAAATCTAGTTGAAACAGTTATTTCAGAAGTGTAAATGGGCGGTTTATTTTTACTACATAGAAAATAAACAAAACTTTCCGGTACTTCCAAGCGTAGCGCAAATAAAATCAACGAAATTGTTTGCATGAGCCCGTTTATTTGCTACAGTCAGCCGCAAACCTTCGTGAATAACTCCAATAAAGAAAAAAAAATCTGTGGATGTCACAAAGGAAGCTGTGAAAAAACTGAACCATCTTCACTTCGAATGGACACATTGTTACATCAAAAATGACTCCTGAAGAGGAAATATATAATTATCTGGAGTCGGAGGATGATATCTACGTCAACTTGCCAACTTGAGATCTATTTTCTGTAAAATTGAGATGATTCCATCAAATTCATTTGATTCCTGAAATAATATTTTTTGTTAACTTGAATTATTTTGGAGGCTCATATTATTCCAATATACACGATAAAATTTCAAGCGCAAATGTTTTGGAACTTCTAAAAAGTTAAATATTTTCTTTAAAATTTTCACTAATGTCGCCATGAAACAAAATTAATTGCATGGTGATCTTGACACCAACACTCAAACCTATTTTTACCGCTAAAGATTTCCATATGGAAAAAAAAAGTTTCAGCAGAACAGAACAACAACAAGCTAATTTATGGCGGTTGCTTTGAAGCAATAAAAAATAAATTGGATTTATAACTGATTTTTACCTCTCACCCCAGCAGGCCTGGGTTCAATCCCAGTCGGCGCCGTCGGGATGTTCTGAGGCATAACATCTCTGATCACGCCTTTCTTCGGATGGGAAGTAAAGCCGTTGGTCCCCGGTTCATGAGTTGATGGGTCGATAGGTAGGGTCCAGGTGTGGGAGCTGCCTTCCTGGCACGTCGGTAGCATTGGTGCTCAGCACGGAAAACAAGATCGACGGGAAAAACAAACCAAAGGAAAAAAAAGAAATATAACTGATTTTCACCAAAGCGTAATAAAACTGCTTTAATACAATATTACTCCAAAAGAGGCTATGAGAACCTTTTGTAGAGTATGGGTCTTTCTTACAAAAGGTTTTAAGACAGCTTTATTGTGATTCTCAAACATGCTTTATTAACCTTATTAAGGGTGGTCCACTAAGCTGGAAGACGATCTTATAGCGGTTATCAAAAGGTTGTGCTGGAGCTATTAATTTTATTGACGGATTTATAAAATTGATCTCAATAACCACTAATAGAGTGCAATAAAACAAGAAATGCTACAGAATTTACTGTTAATCTTCAAAAAATATTTAAAAGCACCTTGGTAAATTTGATTAAAAGTTCGGTTCGGTTTTCGGAAAAAATATAAATGGCATTGTTCAGACCAATTATGTTTACACTGTTTTTATTTGAAAGTTTGGATCATTTCCTTCGAATGTTATGTATCTTATGTTTCTTACTAAAGTAGTTCAAATTTTGGAAGGCTACTTTAGTAAGAAACTAGCAGGACCCAATTTGGAACCGTTTAAGCACTGTGGAGCGAAAATTTCAAATTTTGCATCAGTCTAGTGTTCAATCGGCTGTCGACAGAAGCAGGCCATTCTCGATGTGTGTCACGCGATCGTCTGTTTACTCGGCAGCAGCCATTGTGTGGTCCTCCTCATTGTTCTTCATCAGCAGTTCTTTCGGTCGATGCGTCGTCGACTTTGGAAATCAACCGTTTCGTGGTAAGTGTGTGAGTGCTGACCACGTTTTGCGTCCATTGCTGCAATGGAAGTGCTTTGCCCTCCGTTGGCGATACTGCCATACAATGAAATCACTGGAAGCGACTTCCGTTCTGATGGAGC